AATTTTTTAGCTTTTAGGTCAACACACCCATGCAATGTACAAATTTAACCCCTCCTCTCTTTCTGACACACAAACTTTTAAGGCAATATATACATACAACTATACAAGTATATACTTGTATGATTTATGACCAAGTCATGTATATATAAGTAACATAAAAATAAATTTTAGATAAAGGCGCACTTGATACATATTACCTCCGTTTTTTTAGTTGACATGTTTTGATTTTAGTATTAATCACACACCTCTCTTTGACCGTGTTTTGTGATTTATACGTATTGAAAATTAAATTATAATCATGTGGGGTCTTGTTAAATTCATCTCGAGATATATTTTCAAGATATCATTTTTTTATAATTTTCACTATTCTGTAATTAAAAATATTAATTATTGAATTTGTGCATTGACAAATGTGACTAAACAAATGTGTCAACTAAAAAGAAATTGAGAAAGTATAAAAATGAAACCAATAGAGTGTTTGGGTAACAAGGCACTAACAACTCAAAAGCTGGCATTACTATAATAGACCAACTACATACATAAAGATTGTTTTTCTCACTAGCCAAATCATTATGGGTGATACTTAAAGGTTACGAATTTGGACAAAAAAATTGCCACAATTTTGTGGCATTTAGGGTCTGTTCTCTTACGTTGAAATTCAGTTCAGTTCAGTTCAGTTCAGTTCAGTTCAGCTCAGTTTAGTTCAGTTCAGTTCAATTTAGTTCAGCCCAGTTCAGTTCAGCTCAGTTCAGTTCAGTTCCTAATTTCCTTCTCTTATAAAATATTCAGTTCAGTCCAGCTCAGTTCAGTTCAGCTCAATTCAGTTCAGTTCAGTTCAGTTCAGTTCAGCTGAGTTCAGTCAATGAGAACAATCCCTTACTCTTTGATGTCACATAAGTGCCATATATATAAGATATGATTCATCCTTTTTTTTTTCATTTTTCATTTTTCATTTTTTACTATTTATTTCAAAATTTATACTATAAATAAAGGTGATTCATTATGATTAGATGAATAGAAAAGAAAAGAAAAATATGATTAGATGAATAACAATAATGGATATATATATAAGGGAATGAAATATATGGAAATTAGTATACATTATACTTATGGTAAAGATATTTTTCCTTTTAGCTTACATATTCTTTACCAAATAATTATAAATTTATTCTAATAGATAACTTTGTGCAATTTTTTAAAAATCATTTAATTTTACATTACGAGTATCTTTTATTTAATTTAAATCTAATAAATTTTACAATATCCATTAATAGAAATAGTAGTTAGCCTACATTTACACGAAAATGGATTTGGTACTGAAAATGGAGCTACATTATTGGTAATATGCTCCAACTAATTTGAATCTTCAGTACAACTAGTTAATTGTTAGACTACATTTACACGAATTGATGAATTGATTTTGTGTGTTATTAGGGGCATAGGAGTGCATTACTGCTATGTTGGATATTTGGGATAGGATCTCTCGTCATGGTACACCATGCTTAGCATTGGGGACTACTACTATCATATTTTTCCGGTACTAAACTTCTTGTTGTTTGTTTGTAAGTAATTTTTGTTTATTTCGGGCTAAATTGTGTGTTTTTTTTTTTTTTTTTTTTTGAAGAAATACCACCCTTCAAGGGTACTTGCCTTTGTTTATCAGCCATTTTTGGTTGTGATAATGGCAGTACTGGCTTTCTACATATCGAAAGTTAACAGTAGATGGAGAAACAATGGCGGATTTGGTCTATTCTTCCTTGCTACACTAGGTTGTTTGCTGGTATGTCACCTCCACATTCTAGCCTTGTTGTTGTTGTTGTTGTCATCGTCTAAATCTTACTTAAGGCCCTGTTCTCTTCACCTTACAAAAATAATATTAAGTAAAAATAATTTCAGTTCAGTAAAAATAATTTAAGTTCAGTAAAATTAATTTCAGTTCAGTAAAAATAATTTCAGTTCAGTAAAAATAAGTTCAGTTCAGTAAAATTCAGTTTTTTTAAAGAAGAATTATAATAGAAAATCAGTAAAAATAATTTCAGTTCAGTAAAAATAATTTAAGTTCAGTAAAAATAATTTCAGTTCAATAAAATTAAGTTCAGTTCAGTAAAAATAAGTTTAGTTCAGTAAAAATAATTTCAGTTTAGCAAAATTAAGGTGAATCAAACAGGGCCTAAGTGTGCATGGAGCAGCTAAGTTAATTATATTCTTATATTTGATACAGTTGGATGTGATTACCTTTGGAGGAGGAGAGCTGAGAAATTATGCAGTACTATGCACATTTGTTGGCCTCTTTGGCATTGCAGACGCGCTAGTTAAAGGAGGGATTAGTGGAGACCTTGCCTCTATGCCATCAAGGTTCATGCAATCCTATTACGCGGGCATGGCAGCTTCGGGGACCTTGGCTTCTGTCTTGAGGATTTTTACCAAAGCTGCTATTGGTGGTATACGCAAGGGCGCCTGTAAGTTTATTACTTTTCATTTGTAGGAGTATTTTGTTAGGAAAAATGCATTTTATTAAGGAAAATCTTTGCCTAATTTACTTAAAATAATCTCAACTATCGATTATTCTATAATAACCCTAACTTTCACTTTCACCTTCACCTTCATTTTCATCTAACAATCCCAAAAACTGGTTACCTTTTAAGAAGGGATTTTTTTTATTTTTTATTTTTTTTTAAGTAATTAAGATTCACTTGTCACACATTATTGGTCCAAAAAAATCAAAAAGCAAAATTAAAAAAGCACAGCCATGAGCCACCACTATTTCCCAAAACTCAGGCCACCGGAAACCTTTCCCAGCCTCATCCCCCACTCCCTAGCACCACTGGAAACCACCAATTCCCTCCCCTCGAAACCTGACAAAACTCCAAATTCTGGCCCTTGAAACCACCCCCATCCCTCAAAACCGCCCATAACTCAAACAACCATGGGCGATTTTGGGGTGGTTTTAAGGGCAAGGGTTTGGGTTTTCGGCCGCTTTTGGGGCTGGGGAGGGGTAAGAAGTGGCGGTTGAACGCTGGAGGAGGTGGTGCTTAATTTTTTTTAACCACTTACAATCCGACACGTGTCCAATAACCTACAATAAAAGTTGTTGCCTTTTGTTGACCGGTTGTGGATTGTTAGAACAAAATACATAGGTGAAAGTTGAGATTATTGTAGAATGATCAACAGTTGATATTATTTAAATTAAATTTGGCAAAGTTGAGATTAAAATCTATGTTAATCGGACACGACTAATATCGTAAAGTGTCCGAGTCGACACGACACTTCGCGGACACGAACACATGACACGTATTCGATGCTTCACTGTGCACTCATACACCAGGAGATTGTCATTTATTAGGAGAACTTATCGAGGAAAAATTAAAATAAAAAAATAAGGGTAGATAAATGAAATATTCAAAGCTTTTGTAATTATATAATTATTTATATAAATTTAAGTATCGTATTGACGTGGGTCCCTGTACCCGTGTCCAAATATCAGACAGAGTCCCAGTGTTTTAAAATTTTGAAACTTGCCAGGTAGGACACTTGGACACGTGTTCGTGTCCGACACCCGTTCTCGAGTCCATGTAACATAGATTAAAATGTATTTTTCCATTTTTATTTCTTAATGTTGAATTTAACTAATGATCCATACCCTTCCATATGCAGTATTATTCATGTCAATTGCTGTAGGGATCGAATTGATTTGCTTATGCATGTACCCATTTTACTTTTCAAACTTGCCGATAGTAAAGTACTATCGAGCAAAGGGTACCAATCAGGCAAGTTTCACCACTTTGTTACTGTATGATATTATTTAGCTTCTGAATTTCTAATTTAATGAATATGAAGTTAACAAGACAACTCCTTAAACATAAAGGTTGTGGATGTAGTTTGTTTGACGCAGAAACAATTGTTTTTCTTGAACTGGGATTATGCCCTAGTCATCTACTTGACATATGTTCTGTCGATGTCGATTTTTCCGGGATTTCTATACGAAAACACCGGCTCTCACTCTTTAGGATCTTGGTAATCAACTAAACTAGTCTGTTTTGGTTCTTTTTTCTTTTCCGAATACATTGAATATATTAATTGGCCACTTTTGTTTTGCAATATCTCTTACTTTTCCATTAGTTGCTGAATTTCATTCTAGCATTCTTATGCCTCATTGATTTTTATACAATATGGTTTTCCAGGTATCCTGTATTGCTGATTGCAGCATATAATCTTTCAGACTTCATCGGCAGATATTCCCCTTTGGTCAAGGTGATAAAGATGGAATCCCGAAAGGGCCTGATGATCTTGACCCTTTCTCGATTCCTTTTTGTGCCCTTCTTTTACTTTACTGCACGATATGGAGCGCAAGGTTGGATGTTCTTGCTCACATTTCTGTTAGGATTCAGCAATGGCTACCTGACTGTGCATGTGATGACTTTGGCTCCCAAAGGTTACAGGGTAAGTAGTGTAATTTGATGAAAGGTATAATAACTCTGTTATATGATTTTTTATCCAGCAAATGATAACTAAGTTATGATTTTAATTGATGTGTAGGGACCAGAGCAGAAGGCACTAGGGAACCTATTGGTGCTTTTTCTGGCTTTTGGTTTACTTAGCGGTATTAGCCTTGATTGGTTATGGATCATTACTTGAAGAAGTTGTCATCTATTTATACTTTTGTATTGTATGTTTGTAAACTTTTGAAAAAGCTTAAGCTGCTGTTTCAATAACAATTTACATTTATTCTTATATAAAACTGCATATTAATTTGGAAAGCCTACCAGCACTTAAGCACTAAATGTCTTTAGAAGCCACAGATATGGCTCAAGCTGGCAATCTCCATATGCAGTATCGACTACGAAGTCCAAGGATCCAGTGAGGGCCTTGGAGAAGAATAATTATTAGTCTAACACGGTAAAGGGCGGAGCTCTATGTAGTGCTATAATAAACTTGAGCAATGATTACCTTCATTTGTTGTTCATCAGATGAATTTACAAAATCATCTACACCAAGCACGCTCAAGGCCTCTTCTTTGATTCTTTCTTAGATATACTGGTGCTAAAACCCGTAACTTTTAGTTCTAAAGCCTTACCCAACTTTACAGCCAAATGTCCAAGACCACCTAGCCCAATCACCCCAAGACTTTTACCAGGCTGGTTCATATTATGGCGAACCATGGGAGAATAAACAGCTACTCTGGCACACAACAATGGGGCTTCTAAGTGCAGGGGAAGATTGTCAGGAATCCGATAGCAGTATCTGAAAATTCAGCAGAGAGAATTAAAAGTAGGTTCATTGTATAAAAGTTCTCTAAAGCACATTTGCTATTTTCTTGTTCAAAATGATACCGATTTGTTTAACCCTCAGTGGCAACTGTTGCAGAAACTAAGTTCATAATGCATGGACTAAAGATGAAGTCCTCTGTCATCCGCCAACCAGAAGAAAAGAGTAAATTGCTGTAAGCCAAAAGGCATAACACATAGTATAATAGGATTTAATTAAAGGCCTTGGCTTCAACTATGAGACATTAAGAAGTAATGTGAGATAAAGGAGTGTGGATAAAGGTTGATCGAATAATCTCTGAAATACAGCAGTAAATGTGAGTAGTTACAAGCTTTCGAAAGGTTTGCTCTTCTTCAAATTTTAAATCAATCTAACATATAGCTTTCATCAAAATTAAACACAAGAATGGTAGCTTTAATCTGTATGAAATAAGCAAGATGAAGCTATACACTCTATTTGTGACAGTACCGTCTGCATCCACTCTATTTGTTAAGAGTGGTCCTTTCATTTGAATAGAAACAGAAATTAAGCAACAATTTTATACGTAGTATATAGAAACAGAACTTAAACGAACCTGATTTCTAGAAAAATGGAGTAAAAAAGTGATAAATTCCAGATATAAAATTATGAAAGAAAAATACTCCAGTAATGACTAATGAGTTTATTTATAGACTGTTTGGGTCCAATTTAGTCCAATTGGGCCTAGGCATTAAATGATCCAATTAAAAGCCCAAGGTCAAGGTTCAACTCTCCAATTGTGCTAAAGTCAAAGGTCAACCCTCAAAGCAAGCCAATTGGGCTAAGGCCCAACCTCTCCATGTATGAAGAGGTATAAAAGCCATCAATATTCATACATTCAGATATTGATTCATTGATTCATAGATTCATATATTCTCATATATTCAAGCAAAGCCTCAAGCAACTAATTCTCTTGCATAGTGTTCTCTTTCTACACATTGTACTGACTTTAGCATCGGAGGGGTCTTCCTCGGCAACACCCCCGAGGCTAGTTTACGTGTGTTTACTGTGCAGGAAACCTTCGGCCCAGCATAACTTGGACCGAATCCAGTCTTCTCCGTTTCAGCGGACCTTCGGCAAGGTCCCATTGTTTTCACCCGAAACAATTTGGCGCCGTCTGTGGGGAAGACTTTCAAAAATCTTTAAGCCAAATTTCTAACCAAGATCATCTTGCAATTATCTTAGTAGCAATGGCTAAGAACCGCAAGCGCAAAAGCCTCCGTCAAGGAGCGGGCGAAAAGCCTAAAACCCCTACACCATCACCCTCGCCGGACCGGAACTCTCCCAAGGGTGCCAGCTCGGGGGGAGGATCATACAAGGAGGATTCCCTTTCTCCCGTAATTCATGACTCTCATTATAGGCCGAGTCACTCTCGGTCTAGCAGGGGTGAGTCCGATCATAGGACACATTCAGTGCCCCAAAGCCAACCATCGGCTGCGCGCCCTCATTCCCATACTCGGCCGAGGACCCCTTTGACGGGGCCCAGCTCGGAAGAGGTGGCAAGAGCGCTGGCAGTGCTCATGGAGGCGATGAGGGCACAAAATATGCCACCACCTCGTGATCGAACTCCTCCGCATACCCGGCATCAGCGGAGGAAGTTAGACCATGATGGTGGGAAGCTTCCTTCCTTCCGGGAACTGGAAGAATGGGAAGAGGATTCCTGGAAAAATGAAAAAGAGAGGAAAAAGAACCCTCAATTTTTAAAAGGATCCTCATCCTCAAGACCAGAAGCGCATAAGAGCAGCAGCTCAGCTTCTCGGCCAGAATCTACTCACCGAGAACCTGAGCCTGTTCGCCGAAGCGTCCTTGACCGACTCGGCGGCAAGGAACCGAGCGTGCGCAGTCGCCTCTCGTTCCCTGCAGCCGAGGCCCAGACTTCCCAGCCAGGGACGAAAACCACTTCTACCTTTCTAAGAGGGCGGAGCGCGGTCCCTTCGGCCAGGAACAAGGGCAAGGCCGTTATGCTACCCGCCAGTTCACCATTCGAGCAATGGATACTGGAAGAGCGCGTACCCACGGTTAAAATACCGTCGCACATCACATATGACGGGACCTCGGATCCGAAGGATCACGTGGCCTTGTATGAGACTCATATGCATCTTTGCCCCAGATCCGAGGCGACTTGGTGCAAATATTTCCCAACCACTCTCAAGGGGGTCGCGCAAGCGTGGATCTCCAAGGGAGTAAGGCAAGGCTCCATAACAGGGTGGGATGATCTGTCCTCCAAGTTCAGGAGCAAGTTTTCCACGGCAAACCGCCGAGAGAAGACTACTGCAGAGCTCATGAGTCTACAACAGGGGGAAACCGAAAGCCTCCGAGACTATCTGACCCGTTTCAGTAACGAGTCATCCAGCGTCTCTCAGCTGGACCAGGGGCTAGCCGTTTTTGCAATGCAGAATGGCCTTCAGCCCGGAAAGTTCCTAGACTTCATGGTCATGCATACCCCGCAGACCTTGGAGGAAGCTCTGAATGCCTCGGATAAGTTCATCCGAGCCGAAGAATGGAACAAAGCGAAAACCCAACCTCAATTTGGGGGAGGGAAACAAAGGCAAATACCCTTGTCTGAAGGCCAAGGCCATAAGGCAAAGGGAAAGTCAAAGGCCTCGGAGCAATCTTTGGCCAGCGACCCAAAGAAGGAAAGATCTGCCTCATACACAGGCAGATACGAGTCCTACACTCCGCTCTCTCTTCCACGCGCCAAAATTTACAGCGTGACGAAGGAGGAGCAGAGTTACCGAAAGCCGAGACCACTCCCAGAGTGGTATCAACGAAAAAATAAAAATCAGTGGTGCGAGTTCCACGAGTCTTCGGGACACAACACTGAGGAGTGTATCCAACTGAAGGACCAGATAGAGGACATGGTCCGGAAGGGATACTTGAAAAAATAAATCGCGGATCACCGCGAGAAAAAAGAATCCGAGAAGTCAGCAAAGGACTCTCGGCAAGACCTCGACTTCCCCCGGAAAAACAGTAAAAAGCCGGAGGGGAAATACCCTCCGATCAATGTTATCTCGGGAGGAATATACTCTCGGAGGGAGCACAAGCGACACCTTAGAGCTTTGACTCACCAGGTGAACAACGCTGACATTCAATCTCCCCAGTCGCCGGTGCCGAACATGACGTTCACAGCCGCCGACTGCCGGGGGATTACGTTCCCTCACGAGGATCCGTTGGTGATCATCGCCACGGTGGCTAACCACGACGTCAGTAAGGTCCTTGTTGACGGTGGCAGTGGAGCAAACATTCTGTTCCGAAAGGCCTACAATCAAATCAAGCTGAAGCCCAAGCACCTTACGCCGGTACCCTACCCGGTATCCGGGTTCAATGGGGCTTCAACTTATCCAGATGGGAAGGTGACACTTCCTGTCACCATCGGTTGCGATGAGGCAGCCAGGAACGTCATGATTGAATTTTTGGTCATCGACGCTCCTTCAGTGTACAACGTGATTTTGGGGAGACCCATAATTCATGAGATCCAAGGGGTCGTCTCAACTTATCATCAGCTGATGATTTACGTCTCAGACGCCGGCTTCCCCGAAAGGATACAGAGCAACCAAAAGGACGCCCGAAGGTGCAACTACCTCAAACCATCCAATAGTCGCCCAGATGACAAGGATGAGGAGGAGAAAGAAAAAGAAAGAGAGCCGAGCACAAAAAAGCCGAAAGGCCTAAGTGCTTCGGCCCAAGGATCTGTACCCAGAGGTAAAGGGCCCGAAAGGGAAAAGGCTAGCTCTTCAGCTGAGCCGCAAGACTCAGAGAGCCAGCCGAAGAACAAAAAGACTGGGACACCTGCCGACATTGGCAGCAGGCCAGATTATGAAGAGTCCAGTCCATCAGCAATGGACATGGACCAACAGACTGAAACAGTTGAGTTGGCCGAAGGAGACGTTGAGAAATGTGTAACAATCGGGATGGACCTTGATCCGAACACCCGTTGTGAACTTATTCAGCTCCTTCGGGACAACAAAGATGTGTTTGCTTTCTCGGCAGCTGATATGCCCGGGATAAGTTCAGACCTCATCTCCCATAAGCTTAATGTTGACCCGACGTGTCGACCAGTTAAGCAAAAGAAGCCGAATTACTCCGCCAATAAGAACCGAGACATCGCAGCCGAGGTCAAAAATTGTTGGAGGCAGGATTCATCGAACCTTGCCAATATCCAGAATGGCTGGCAAATGTGGTGATGGTTCAGAAGCCCAATGGTACCTGGAGGATGTGCGTTGACTTCACGGACCTAAATAAGGCTTGTCCAAAGGATTTCTATCCCTTGCCGAGGATCGATCAGCTAGTCGATTCGACAAGTGGCCATGCCTTGCTTAGTTTCATGGACGCATTCTCGGGGTATCATCAGATCTTTATGCACCCCGACGATCGAGCAAAGACAGCATTCGTCACGAACGCTGGGGTGTACAATTACAAAATGATGCCCTTCGAATTGAAAAATGCGGGGGCAACCTATCAAAGGTTGGTGGATCAAGTTTTTGCCGATCAAAAGGGCCGAAACATGGAAGTCTATGTTGACTATTCGATCGTCAAAAGCAAAAAACCTGAGGACCATGTAAAGGACCTGGCTGAAACTTTCGCCACCTTGAGAAAGCATCAAATGAAGCTGAATCCGAAGAAGTGTGTCTTCGGCGTGAAGTCAGGGAAATTCCTTGGGTTCATAGTCAGCAAAAGGGGGATTGATGCCAATCCCTCTAAAGTCAAAGCGGCGCTCGACCTTCCTGAGCCGAAAACGAAGCGGGATGTTCAGCGGCTCACCGGAAGAATGGCAGCCCTCTCGAGGTTCATTTCCAGAGCTTCGGATAAGGGGTTACCTTTCTTCAAAGCCCTGAAACTCCCGAAAACAAAAGAGCTCATTTGGGAGGAAGAGCAAAAAGACGCCTTTAAACAGCTTCGGGAGCATCTGGCTCAACTCCCAATGCTGGCTAGCCCAGCCGAAGGAGAAACTTTGTACCTATATGTGGCCGTTAGCCCAGCCACCATCAGCGCAGTATTGCTGAAGGAAGAAAGTAAAAGTCAGCAACCGATCTACTTCGTCAGTCATACACTGACGGATGCCGAGACTCGCTATCCTCTACTCGAGAAAGTCGCTTTCGCGGTAGTAGTAGCTGCTCGGAAGCTGAGGCCCTATTTTGATTGCCATCAGATAGTGGTCTTAACTGATCAGCCGTTGGAAAAAGTTCTCGGCAAGGTTGAAAAATCTGGTAGGCTAGCCAAGTGGGCTTTTGAGCTCACCGAATTCAGCATCAGCTACCGTCCGAGGGCTGCCATTAAGGCTCAAGCTCTAGCGGATTTCTTGGCCGAATGCTCATACCAAGAAGCGCTAGACAGTGAAAAGAAAGTCTGGACCGTGTTTACGGATGGATCTTCCACCGAAAACGGTTCGGGGGCAGGAGTAGTGATAACTTCTCCTGAAGGCAAATCCTTTGAGTATGCACTAAAGTTTTCTTTTAAGGCCTCGAACAATGAAGCCGAGTATGAGGCAGC